ACCGTCCAGGAGCACTGAGGGCAGGGAAAAGGGGCTCTCTCAGTTTTTAGGAAGCGGTGTCTGACAGAGAGCTCTGTTCTCTCTGAAGCACTTCCCCCGGAACAGGGACCAAATCCTTGTCTGCAGGGCATTTCAAAGGACACCAGAGGGTACCAGCTAAGGCAAGAGCAGCGCTGTGCAGGGAGACTTTCTTCAATCGTCTTTTCTAACAGCCTTTTATGCGATGTGGTAGGAATTGGAGCCAAAAGGTGGCTGCCCTTTGAGTGCAGGATAGGTAGAAATGCCACCATTAGCCATCAGTCAGCACTTTCTTTTCAGTCAGGGAGTCCCCTGGGACCAATGATATTTTAAAAGCATAACAGTGAAAAAGCAGAAGCAAAGCCTGTGGCATTTTTTGAGTTGGGAAAGATTTACATATTCTCAAATGAACTCCTGAGACTCCCGATGCTGATGCCCCTCTGAGGGGACAGAACAGCTACAATTAAACATAAAGTTAATCTATTTTAAAACAGAGCTGACCTCCTTCTGCCAAATGAACAGAATTCACTGCATCCTGCCTTGCCACCCTATGGAAGATGCCACATCCACATGTGCACAGCATTTGTACAGGGAAACACGTTTAAAAAGGAAGGAGAAGCCTTCAGCCTGGAGAAGAGGAGGTTCCAGGGGGACCTTAGAGCAGCCTTCCAGTGCTTAAAAGGAGACTTAAAGAAGGCTGGAGAGGGACTTTTCACAAGGGCATATAGCAATAGGACAAGGGAGAATGGCCTCAAGCTGAAGGAGGGAAGGTTTAGATAAGATATTAGGAAGAAATTATTTATTATGGGGGGGGTGAGGTGCTGGCTCAGGTTGTCCAGGGAAGCTGTGGATGCCCCAGCCCTGAAGGTGTTCAAGGCCAATTTGGGAAGGACTCTGAGCCACCTGGTCATGTGGAACTGTCCATGGCAGGGAGATTAGAACAAATTGAGCTTTAAGATTCCTTCCAACACAAACTCTGTAATTCTTTGAGAATTTCTCTGAATGTGGAAATCCTCTCCCAGCTTGGCATGACCCTGGGATGCAGGCAGACAACAAACTCACACTGATCTCATGCCTTTCCCATGTAAGCAGAGGGGATCTGGCTCCCCTTTCCCTTCCAATCCTCTCCAGAGTCTGGTTCAAGATACCAGTCTTAAAAGAAAAGAAAAAAGAAACTTTCTGCTAAGCTGGAAGATGAAGTAGATCATCCAGGGATCAGATATGTGCAGAGAAGAGGAGGATCACATAGCCAGAGAGGAGCAGGACTGCATCTTTTGGTGGCAATGACCCATTTGTACCCCTCAACTGTGACTCCTGTCAGCATCCGTCCCCCTCCAGGGAGCACAGCATAGGTGAAAAAGCAAACTGGCTCAGAAAAAAACTAACTCACCACAAGAGAGGCAGAGGGATAACATCAGTCATTTATGTCAGATTAACTGACCCCATTAAACCACACTTGGAACTCAGAATCAAGGCAGTGATGTGCAGGAAAGGTGTGAAGGCGTAAGGGTGGCACCTTCTGCTTACCAGAATTAATCTACCACAATTAGTAAAAGCGTCCACTCCGAACTTTGCATGTTTAAATGCAGGAATGTCCAACATGCACACTGCAAAAGTCTCAGTGATCCCAGAAATGCAAAAAAGCTGTTGCAGTCAGAGCAACATGAGGTCACTGGAGCTATCTGGGTTCATTCCGATCTAACTGGAAAAAGGAAATTATGTGGGTGAAAGGAACATTTGACCCATAGCCTTACAAACTTGGCATTTAGACTTTTGACTGTATTTTGTGTGTAAAAATGTAGCTTGTCCAAGTTTAATTTTCTGTGGGGTTTTTTTTTTTTTTCCTAAATAATTCTTTCATTTAAGAAGCGGTCAAGAGAAGAAGTAAAACAGTCTCTATAAGCAAAAAGCAGTAGGGTTTAGCTGTGTTTCTGTTTCCCCTCTTACTGCAGGTTTCACTCTGGCTGGACTGACAGACAGAAAAAGGAGTTCCTTAGATCCACTGCCCTTGTTTTTGAAGCATGTCTTGTCTTTTTCTGCATGTCTGGAACAGGAGACAGAAACTCTTCCGAAAAAAAGAAATTAAAACAACAGCTGAAAGCATGAAGAGGAATAAGTCAGAAACTCAATTTGCATCCAGTGATCAAATGGGCAAATCCGGTATGTAAAGAAAAATTTGTGCCATCTCTGCCGTAAAATTGGCCCCAGCACAACCCATACCAGAGCTGGCACAGAAATTAGACACCAAGCACCTAAAATTGCCAGACGCTTCAATATTTAGGGCTGGCCACAAAACAGGGATTCTTTCTCAGCCCTCATTGTCCCTTTCTGAAACCCAGCTCCACTCTGAGCTCTTCACTGGGAGTAACACAAAGGATTCCTGGAATGTGTTATTTGTGAGCCAGTGCTCTCTCACACAAGTGTGTGTTGCCCCTCCCTTCCCAACCCTCCAGTAACTTAGAAAAGCTGTAGGGAATTTTCTTCCAAACTTCTCAAAAAATTTCACCCCTGGGAAGAAACCGAGAGCTAAGTGGTCCCCAGCTAGAAGAAAATACTCCAGGGAAGTTTAAAAATACTCCATGGGCATAAAGCTGGGGTTGCTGTGTCACTGAAGTCAGTGCCTATGCTTTGTTTGCACACAGGGCAGGGAAAGGTCATACTGAGGGGCTTCAAGCTATATTTTTCTAGATAAACTGGGGACTGAGAACATCCTACAGTTTGTAGGTAGCTGTGAAGGTGCAATGGCTTGACGAAACCAAGCCCATGGGGATACCAGCAGTGCATTCAGATCATAAGTAAAAAAGTTTTTGCTGTAACTAAGCTGTTTTGCCACTTTGTGCTGAGACAACAGGGTGTTGTTCATGGGCATCAGTGTCTCCAGCAGCAGTTGACATCCCAGACACAGCTCTAATTTACACTGGCATTTCAGGGGGTGAACGTCAGAATAGCAAAATTCAATTCAAAGGAAAATAAATGGATCTACATAGCTTGCACATACATGAAATTCCTATGAAAGACAACCATCAAATCAACCTTCAACCTTTCCTATGAAAGACAACCCTCAAATCCCTTCTAATTAAGCCCCCCATTAATGCCTTCCACTGCTACAATATGAAAATTCAGCCTAGCATCCCCTCTGTTACTATTTCGCTCACATGGGCTTTACAGAGGGCACCTGTTTCCATCCTAGAATGCTACCTGAACTTTGCAGTGCTACATCAGGGAGGTGTGCCAGCATCAGGACACCTGGGCCAAACCAAGGGCACGGGCTCTGGGAGCCAGCCCTGACTGTGCCTTGATGTGGCCACGAGCAGCCCCATGAGGGGTCAGTCCTGGAAATGCTGGCTGTGGTGACTCACTCGGTATTGCATGGGAAGTCACTGCCAGGGTGGTGGCAGACACCCAGGGCTCCACTATTTCACCACAACAAGGTCAGAACCCAGTCCTTGTGGTCCCTGTGGGCAACGCTGAGAAGGCATCGCCCACAAGCACCAGGAAAGCTTTTCAAGCCCAGTCCTTTGTGGGTACTGCACCACGTATTTTCATGGAGCAATCTAATGCAGGAATGCTGATCTTTGGAGAGAAAGGGTTCAGAGTGTGTGTGAGTGCATGCAGAGAGAGAAGTAAGTGCATCAGCTGTCCTGTTCTTATCATCTGCCAAGCCCCTGCTCCTGAAGCACCGTGACTTCCATTGACTTGTTGCTAGAGAAGCATCTAAAAATTGTGTCTCAAAAGTACAACTAGATAAACACTTAATTTTCTATTATCAAACTTGTATTTCTAGCAGTGGATATTAGCATGCATCAAACTATACATCCAAGTATACATCCTTTAGCCAAGGAACCAGAATCATTTTCAGAGAAATTACATGAGTGGAGAATTACCATATGCTCATAATTACATTATTAACATACCACAAGCTCTTAAACCACTGAGAGAGAAACAGTTCTGCTCATGATAGATTGTTTGCCTGATGCAAATACAAGCAAAGTATATTTGTGCTTGATAAATGCTTTGCAAACACAGAGACAGGGGAAAGAGTGAGGGGAAGACAGAAGAGCAGAGATCCCAGAGAGGCATTTGAGGTTGTTGCTTTCTTTACAAGTGAGTTCTGCAATTCATTCCCTGCTAAATTCTCCAAGTTTTATCTTAAAATTCTGAGACTGCAACTTGAAACCTGGCATCAAATATCTCCCAGTTTCCCAATAGCAGCATGAAAAGTTCCTAATTTTGCATTGCTTGATTTTTAAGGAAAGCCTCAGTGCAGCCCAGGTTTGCTCTAGAGTATTGTTAGCTGCAGTGAAACACTAAAATTTACAATAAGCATAACTTATCTTGCAGCCACAACAAACTCCAGCTCAGAAGTGAATTTTGTGTGGTTTCCAGGTTAACATTTCACACATCTGAGAAGACCCATCCCAAGCCTGTTGAGGCGAGGAGCGATCTGCGTGAGCTTTGTGGCAAGTCCTCAGAAAAGGACAGGGAACAGCTCAGGCAGGACTTCACCGGGGATTTGTGTTATTGGAGAAAGAACTCACTCTGCTCTGTGCTGAGCTGCCCAGGAGGTGCAGAGCGCTCAGAGCTGCCATCTTTCCCTGTCATCTCCACCACACACCCACTTTCAACCACCCAAAAAGCTGCAGAAACCACCCCGCCACCGAGGCCGAAGCCCAGGGGGTTGCGCCACGTGCTCCCCACAGACATCAGCTGACCAAAACCACCCTCGTTTCTCTCACCCTGGCTGCGATGGGAGCTCACCCTGCCTCTCTGGGAGCCAGCAGCCTGGTGCAATGGGCCTGGGAAGCTGAGAGCTGGGGGCTCTTCACTGAAGTGCCAGCACCCCAAACCCTGGCCTGGGCTCAGCCCTGGCAGAAGGCACCAGGACTGTCCTGAGGAGAGCCACCATCCCCTGTTGACCATCACAGGGGCGCTGCTGCTGGTGCCCAGCCCCTTCCCACACTCCCATTCTGGTTCCTGCTTACCCATCCCAAGGCAGAGCAGCACGAAGAGCCCGAGCCCCAGCCACGTCCTCGACGCCAGCGCCAGTGGGGAGGCAAGCAGGCACATCATCTTCCTGTAGCTCCTGGGCTGGGAGAAGAGGGCAGAATGGTTATGGCAGCGGAGCCTGAGGAGTCACAGCACCCTGCACTGCGTCCCTCTCCTTCCTGCCTGCTGCCAGCACCACAAGCCCCGAGCTCAAGCCCAGCCTGCCCCATTTCCCTGCCCTGGTACCTGTCGTTTCCCTGGTCCAGCAGCACCGAGGCCACCCCTGAGGCCGGGAGGAGGCAGGGGGCTCAGTGCCAGGCCATGGGGGCCTGGCTGCTGTCACAGGCTGCCAGAACCCTCTCTGACAGGCTGCAGGGGGAAGTCTCGGTGCCGGGAGGCTGCTCGGCCTCATAAGTCACCTCACACCGCCCACGGCTTCCTCGCGGGGCGTGCGCCAGGATGCAGCCACCCTCGTCACCCCGACTGCCTTCATCCCTTGGGGTGCTCCGGGTGTCCCTCCAGCCTGGAGGGTGTCAGGCCAAAGAACCCTGCCTGTGAATGTGTCAGGCAGTGCTGGGGGCTTCGGAGGTTCAAATGCAGCTGAGTGAAACCCTGACGCTGCTTTGGGAATAGCTGTATAAAGTTAGGTTTGAAATGAAACAAAACGCCCGCACCACCATTTCAGGCCCGGCAGGGTAGGATGCAATCCACCAAGAAATGGATTTTCCAAAGAAAATATAAGAAGGATTGCTTAGGCTGCACGTGATGGATGTCATGGCTGAGCAACTGGACAGGGAGTAGGATGTGACAGCAGGGCTGAATTTGGATGGCTGTGGTGTCACCAGAGAGCATCCACCAGCAAGGTGGAAGTGCAAGGAGCACTTGCTCCCCAGCACCGTCCTGCCTTCCCCAGAAAGCACCCAGAGCTCACCCAGCTCTGGATGGGGCCGGGGACAGGCATGGACCATCCCTGCTTTAAAGCCTGGAAGGGCAGAGCCATCACCAGCACAAGGGGCCAAACAAAGCCAGGGCCAAACACAGCCAGTCCAGAGCAAATCCTGGGCAGAAAAACAAACCACTTAGGAAATAAGAGCCTGAGAGAGTAAGTGCATGCTAAAGTGATGTAGATTTGTACAGATACTGCACACCTTCCTGCAAAATAAAATAAACCCTGGTACAGTGTAAGAAGTTACAGTGTGAGGGGTTTTATTTAGCTGTAATAATCACAGCAAGAGGGTTGCATACCAATAAAACCTGATATTCTTCAAGGAGGAAAAAAAAGTGCAAATACAAATCAAGAGTAAAATAATTTATTTAAATGCAGATTTCTGGTTTGCTGGTTTAAATTATTTTGATTTAAATGAAATGCATCCTTTCTATCAGAAATGATTTGCTGCTACATTGCTCCAGGTTTTCTTCAGTACAGGTCCCTTGAATTAGATAGATTAGATGGACTGCATTGAATTACAAATCAGAATTTTATTTTGACATAATTAAAACGATGGTATTCTGTAGGGAAATCAAATGCAGGTTATAACATTTCTGTAAAAGAGAAAATCATTGTATATGAAATGGCTGAGAGGAGTCTGTTACTGAGTCAGACTGGCACTTTCTACATTGCAGGGTTTTGAGTGCCTGTGTTTTGTGTTTTGGGCTATGATCTAAATCCTGTACATTTGTACTCCATCCTTGCATTTTCTAGCAGCATGGTTTGCAAATGCAGATGACAGTAGCACCACGGGTTTACGTAGAAGTGTTTCCATGGTGCTCAGAGAAGAAGAAAGTATCACTAATACAGCCAGCCATACACAGCTTCCTTAAGTCACAGCCCCAGCTCTCAGGCAGGGACAGCCTCTCTGTGAGTCAGGTGGAGTAAACTTTCTCCTGCTAGTCCAATCATGAATCCATACCATTACAGAGTTACTGGCAACCCTGTTACAGCTGTACAGTTCATCACCTCACTTTCATTTCAAATTCAAGCATTTTAAAAATGCCTATTTCTGCCATTAGCATATCACAACAAGAAGGAAACTCCAGCTTGTTACATTTGCACCTGTATTTCTTCCTCAGGACTTAACCTGCTTTTGGATGAGGAGTCACAGGGAGAGTAACAGAGCTCATCAGCTGCCAGACTGTAGTAAAGGAAGTATCACAGCCCCTTATTACACACAGAAGAACACGCACCAGCTAAGCCTGCCTAAATTTTAGATAGAGAGCTGAACTCAAGGGTGTTATTCTCACTCAGGGCTCCTTCTCTTTTCCTAGGCATTGCAGTTCTTGGTACCTTCTCCTCTGGAGATCTCCCTGACTGCAAGGAGACTGAAGTAACAGAGAGAGAGGAGCAGCCAAGTGCTTTGTTCAGCTTTGATCAGAGGCAGAAGTCATAATTTTTCCATCACCTAAAGCTTCCCTAAGCATATATCATATCCTTGATTCATGGAATCCATCAGTTCAAGGGAAGAGGTGTTATGCATCTTTAGGATGTTAACAAAGTTGAAGGACTCCTATATATTGAAGTCACAGTACAGAAGACACTGCTTTTTTGAGGACTGCAGAGAGTAGTATAAGCCCACCAATTCACAGCAAAATCCCCATAGAAATAAGGTTTCTTGTGCACTTGATTAGGCCTTCATCATTTCACTTCTGTGTGCTCCAGAAACAGCTTTAAATAGGTAGGAGTATTGCAGAAGAGAAGCTAAGATTTAATAAGAAAGGATGGTTAAATTCTGCTAAAAACATTTACTGCAGAAAAGAGGAAGATGTGAGAGCATCACACAACTACATTTTTCCATTACTTACCCAGAAAACCATTAGGGAAAAAGCAGAAAAGACAAGCGAAATTTTGCAGCATATGTGCTGTGTAGAGGAAATTAATTTTGGTAATCAGCACTTGTGGTAGAAATCCTTTGCGCTCAAAGGGAAGTCTTTTCAAATACATTGCTGCAAGCGTTCTCCTGCAGACCCACTGACATCACCAACTTTTTCCACCTCTGCAGAAATGCACTTCCAGTGCATTGGAACATTTATTGATTGTCAAGAACATACAAAGAAGCCACAACCTCCCTCTCTTTCTCAGTCAACATCTCAGAGAGATATCAGAAAGGTCAGGACTGGGTAAACACTAAACCAAAACACAGCACCTACTCTCCCACTGAGGATTCATAACCACACTCCCTCCTACAGGGCTGGGACACCTTTCACTGTTTTCAAGGTGAACAGCCATTCCAATCTGTGTTAATCTGAACTAAAAGCACATCTGTGTACTTTTAATACCAGAACATCCAGGTTGAATGGGAAGTACCCAAGATATGTTTCCAGAGATGTACATCACCAAAACATTGTTGTGCAAATGCCCTAAAAGCATCTTTGTCAGAGAAATGATCCCATTGCAAGGCAGAATAACATTTTTAGTGGTATTTTTTTTCATAAAATCATAGAATTAGGTTGGAAAAGACCTTTAAGATCAATTAGGCCAACTGTTAACCCAGAACTGCTGGGTTAGTCCATGACTAAACCATGTCCTTAAGCACCATGTCTACATGTCTTTTAAATAACTCCAGGGATGGACTCTCATACCCTGGGCAGCCTGTTCCAGGGCTGGATAATGCTTTTGGTGAAGATTTTTTAATGATATTCACTCTAAACCTCCCATGGCATCACTTGAGACCATTTCCTCTTGTCCTGCCAGCATTTGATGGTTCCAATACCAGCACCAATAAAATGCAGAGCACCTGGAGTAATGAATTGAATTCAGCTGGTAATGCTCATCTGTTTCTCAGTGGAATTATATAACAGGTTTTGGGTTTTTTTTTTCTTTTCCTGTAAGAGAAGGGCAGAAAGCAGCCTTATCAAAGTGGTTCCAGCATCCTGAGAAGTTAGGCCTTTCATACAAAGACTGATGGTCTCCTATGCAATATCAGTAACAAAATAAAATAATTTTGTGAAGTAAGAAGAAAATCCAGTGGTTTCAGGTTACAGAAAATCTCTTTTATCTTACAAAGGAAAATAACAATAACAAAATTCCTACAGCTCCAGAGACTTTTTGTTCTTGTTTTTCCCTTTAGCTCTCCCCAACCTTCAGATTCTAAAACTGGCAAGATTTGAAGAAGTGAAGTCTCCATCTTGGCACAGATTGGAGCATAAGCATCATCTTATTTACAGAAATAAAAAATAACAAGAGGGAGGGAGGCAGGCAGCAAGGCAGGCAGGAAGGAAGGCAGGAAGGACGGAAGGAAGGCAGGAAGGCAGGAAGGCAGGAAGGCAGGAAGGAAGGAAGGAAGGAAGGACATGGTACATTTGAAAGCACAGGTAGCATGTCTGGTGTGCCATGGTAAATCAGGAGTTTATCAATAAAATTTAAAAAAAATCTTCTGAACTCAGAAACAGAGAAGGGGGTAATGTGGAAAATTAATCTCAGCAATGCAAACACAAAATGCACCAACATAACTTGACAAGTGCAACTTTGACCTGATTACTGTGTGGGTGGATATTTGATTTTTACTGCACAAAGCACTGGGGCTCCTTGACAAAATTCCTTAATAATCTGGGATTAACATTCCTCAATTACCTCACAGCAAACTACTGTAAGGAAGTCACTGGATTGCTGTGCTTTGCTGTAGTGAGACATCCCTGTTTGTGCAACCACCGAGCTCACACAGTCCATGAAGGAAAGAGTGACAGGCCTGTGCATGCAGGCTGGCACTCACAGCTGCCCTCATCCACTCCTTTCCTCCAGGGCAGCTCCTGCAAGCTCTTCCCTTGTAGCAGGGCTGCTCATAAAGGAGGATGCAATCTCCTGTGGTTTCCACCCCTGTGAGTGATGACAGAGCTGCAAACACACTGGTTTCCCTCACAAAAGCAGGATGGGCTGCCTGCAGTGGTTGTGCTAGGGAGTCACAGTCCTTGGCAGCACCAGGCTGGGAAGAAGACACAGGCTGATTTTTATTGCTTTTAATATTCCCACCAAGTATTCCAGCACACAGGCAGCTTAAACTTTGTGTCTGGCTATGACTTAAATTACTGTTTGTGCTGGGTGCATTGCAGGCTTTGTTGGCTCATAAGGGGCTGTGAGCTTTTGTCCTGTTTTCACAAGCAGTTTAGGCTGGCAGGGAACAGCAGCTCCGTGGCTGAGATGGCCTTACCATGAATACCATTTTATTTCTTTTTCTCTCTCTCCTCTTTTTTTTTTTTTTTTTTTTTTTTCCTTGCTATTACATGGAAAAATGTAAATGCAACCAGGAGCAAGCATTGCACAGGGTACACACTCAGAGCACTTTTCCTGCCCTGTTCCCCCACCTTGGAGGGCTGCTGGAGCCTCTCCCTGCAGGCAGGGTACCTGTGCTCCCTGCTCCAGGCACCAGCAGTGCCAGGGTGCAGCTGAGGACAGCCAGATCCCTGGAAAGCCTGCCTAATCAGGCATTTTGCTATTTGTCACACACAAGTGACTGCATCAAGGGGAAGGTGATATTCAGGCTGTTTCCTATCCAGGACTGTATTTCTCTGTGTTACCTTTACATTCACTGGGGAAAAAACTGTAAGGTTCTGAGCTGGCTTCAGAGTGGATCACACAGAGGCAAAATCTGAGGATCTTGGTCCTGCAGAGGACCTCTAGAGGTCTTGCAGATATCTGTGGAAATTCACACTGTCCTAATCATGAAACCACGGTGGCAATGAGAAACTGACACAGTGCAAACATGAGCAAGTATATGTTTAAGCCTGTGTGCCAAGATGATAACATGTGGATATGAAAATGCCCTGCAAAAGGAATGCATCAAGGTGTGCAAAGTACCATGTTGGAGAAGCAGCACTTTGGATCTGCCTTCTCCATGAGGTCTGCTGGGCATTTGTCCTGGCAGCTGGAGGAATCTGTCAATATGATTAAGGACTGACAAACTGTGTTTTGCTCATCAGAACATTGTTTTTGATTTTAGTAATCCACAGTTGATTCCCGTGATGCTTGGTTTCTAAGATGCAGGCTTACAAAAATCCCAAGAATTACTTCCATATTGTTGATCAGAGGCAGGGACAAATCTCACCCCTGAACATTTATCCCTCAGTGCCCCCTTGGAATCTGGTTCAACATGCTAACCCTGCAAAGAAAAAAAAAATTAAACAAACTTATTATTCTTGGCTATCTTTGTGAGTTGCATTGATTTACTAGAACCAGCATCAGGAGCAGGACATGGTGGAGAAAGAGAGAAGGGACCATTGATAAAAAATGGGCATTAAATCAGCTCCAAATGTTATATATTATTTCACACAAATCATTGTGTTCA